CCAAGCCGCAGAGCATCTCTTGGCAGTGTTTTCTGGTGACCAGAGGCAAGTCTCTGTGTGTGATAGATGGGCTTCCCATGTGAGCTTTGCACGTTTATATCCACTGATACTTTTGGGTTCCATCAAATACTATTTTTATATCCTGCTGGTGATACATTAGTATATGTTATGAAGTGTTTGAGCCTTGGCTCAATATTCTGCTTAGTAAGCTTGCAGTGCTAACAGTGAAAAGAATCCTTTGTGTGTATTAACACACGTGTATGCCTGTGGTGCGTATATGCGTGCATGTGTGTCTGTGCGCGTGCATGTGTCTATGCGAGTGCAGAGCGATGAGTACATTTCTCTAGAAATTATAAAACCCTTAGCATTTAGGGTTGAATGAGAAGAGTCCATTAGGGAGGGTTTTCTACAAAGTGGCCATATTTTATTTGAAGACATGAATGTGGGAGTAAGCAGAAAGTGTAGCAGAATGAACCACTGGAAGGGCCTGGAGGGGGAATGAACCACTGGAAGGGCCTGGAAGGGGAATGAACCACTGGAAGGGCCTGGAGGGGGAATGAACCACTGGAAGGCCCTGGAGGGGGAATGAACCACTGGAAGGGCCTGGAGGGGGAATGAACCACTGGAAGGGCCTGGAGGGGGAATGAACCACTGGAAGGGCCTGGAGGGGGAATGAACCACTGGAAGGGCCTGGAGGGGGAATGAACCACTGGAAGGGCCTGGAGGGGGAATGAACCACTGGAAGGGCCTGGAAGGGGAATGAACCACTGGAAGGGTCTGGAGGGGGAATGAACCACTGGAAGGGTCTGGAGGGGGAATGAACCACTGGAAGGGCCTGGAGGGGGGAATGAACCACTGGAGGGGCCTGGAGGGGGAGGCACATGGGGACACTGCCTTCAGAGTGGCCCCAATACAGAGGTGCAGGTGGCCGGGCTGAGGCCCCTTGACCCAGGGCTGCTCGCTCTCTCCTGTCCCCTTCTCTCTCCCACTCACTCCTCACTGACTGACCTCCATCAGAAGCTAGCGTTGGAAGGCAATGAGTCCTTTGTTTTGACTTCTAGAGAATGAACAGGACCTGGTTAGAAGGCACCAGAAAGGCCTCTGGAACATTCCCACCATATGTGTTCAGTTATTGCTGACAGAGGCCTAAGAATCTACAGAAAATGTACTTTCATTTAAAAATAAAAGTATTTATTGCTGTATGATTAACATGCAATAAACCGCACGTACTTTACGCATACATCTAGATACATTTTGATGTTTATATCTGCCTGTGAAACTATGATAGTGAATTTACCATACTTTTTAGATAGTCCCTATGGTTCTTTTAGGAAATTACAAAAAGATATCATGGAATCAAGCCACAACAGGCACAATTTCAAAAGTGTTGGCGCTGACGAAATACACAAAAAATAAAATCCCAAGTTCATGAGAAGTGTGAGGATATAGCTCAGTGGTAGAACACGTGCCTAGGAAGCATGAGGTCATAGTTCATCTTCAGTCTGCAAACTAATGATTCCCACACAGAACAGCAAATCAAGGCTGGCGGGCCTGTGATCCCAGTTATGCAGGAGGCAGAGGCAGGAAGACCATGCATTTGAGGCTAGTCTGGCATACAGAGTGAGTTCCCCGAGCAATTTAGTGAAACCCTGTCTCAAACATGAAGAGGACTGAGCCTGTGGCTCAGTGGAAGGGCGTGTACAAGGCTCTGTGTTTAATCCCAGCTCCACACAGATTCTCACAAGACTTGGGAGGAAACTCTTTCGTCGGAGTTCGTAGTAAAAAAGAAAACAAAACTTAAGTTTGAAAGGTTTTATTTTTGTCTGAATTTTGCATTTGCTTAATGCCAAATATTTGAAACAAAGCATGGGACTGGACAAATGGCTTAGCAATTAAGAGTATTTACTGCTCTGCCAGAGAAACCGAGTTCAGATCCCAGCACCCAGATCCGGAGGCTCTCAGCTTCGGTGCCAGGAACTCAACACTCTCTCTTGACTCTGCAGTCTCTGCACTCAGGTTCATAAACAGCCCCACCCACCACACACACACACACACACACACACACACACACACACACACACACACACACGTCAATATAATCTAAAAATAAGGGCTGGAGAGATGGTTCAGTTGTTAAAGGTTAGGCTTACAAACAAAAAACAACAACAAAAAATAATGAAAATAAAACAAAACCCACCCAAATGGAAGTCTGCAAATCTATATGATCTGGGTTGTGAAAAAATCAGTACTAAATGTGTGCTGCAGCTCTGGGCTGTAGATGTGACATTCCAGGGCATGCTATGTATGGTAGCTATATGCAAAGCACAGTCCAGAAAATAGGCTCAAGGTAATAGAGCTTAGTAAAGCCTCAGTCCTCGAGGAAGCAGAGTGTTGGGAGGTGTGGTGGCTAAACTTGGTGGCCAGCTTGATAAGACCTGTGAAGACGGATCCTCCGTTGACTAATGGCCTCCGTCAGGTTGGCCACGGGCGTGTCTGTGGGGTATTTTCTTGATCGCTAATTGATGCAGCATGGACCATCCTACTATGAGCAGAGCCAGCGTTAGGCAGGTGGGTCCCGCCTCTGTAAGAAAGGTAGCTGAGCAAGCCTGAGAAAGCAACTGTAAGTAGTGTTCCTCCGCGGTCCCTGCTTCAGTTCCTGCATCCAGGTTCTCGGCATCACTCTGAGACAGGCTGCAGTCAATCTATGAGCAAAATAAACTCTTTTCTCCCACAGGGTGGTCTGGTCAGTGTTTTACCACATCAGCAGAGAAGCACACCGGGACAGGAGGGGAGTTGTGTTATTATTGATAAGTGCACACAACGGTTACTGTCTCCAGTGTTGAATATTTAATTTGCATTTGGCATTCTATATCACTTCATTAATCCTACTCAAACCACAGGAAGTAGATACTGTTGAGCTCCCTCCTTTACAGATGAAGATAACCTTACAAATGTTGAGACTGATGTCACAGAAGCTGCAATCTTACTGCCTGAAGGACACAGAGTTTGTACGCAATAGAGCCACGATGGATTTAGATTCCTGCTTTATTCTATTCTGCACTATATTATGCAGCACGCCAATCACCCACGAACAGGTTTAAGGAATTATTAGCAGCAGGTTTCTTGTTACTACCTTTAGTGGACCAGGGTGCTAAAGTCCTATCTGGGTTGAGAGCTGGTACCCACAGCCTTCACTGTCCTCAGAGTCCTATATGTCTAAGGCAATGGTTCTCGACCTGTGGGTCACAACTCCTCTGGGGGTCACATATCAGATATCCTGCATACCAGATATTTACATTATAATTAGTAACAGTAGCAAAATTGTAGTTAAATCATTTTATGGTTGGGCTCACCCCAGCATGAGGAACCGTGTTAAAGGGCCACAGCATTGGGAAGGTTGAGAACCATGGCTCTAAGGAACTCAAGATCTCTAGGGAGGAAGGCCAGGGCCAGTGGAGGACAGCTTCATCCATCCTCAGGGGTATGGTAGAATTTATAAGCATAGGAGTTGGCCCAGACCCCTAGGCTTCTCTTTGCTGGCTTTTAATGAAACGGGCAAGTCCAGAGTGCTCTCTAAGTCCAGGATAAGGGATGGTATTACTTCCGTCTATACACAGCTGACTCTCATGCACCTCTTCAGAGACGTGGTCTTTGGCCACCTATCTTATGTCACTGGTCACCATCTCTCCTGTTTCTTCAGAACAATAGTCCTTATCGGAGGGTAGAACATCCATTGTTAAACCTTTTGGTCTTAGGATATCTGCTCTTGCTTAAAATGTATTGAGTGCCAGAAGAGTAAACTCTTAGATGAATTATACCATTTGCAATTTACCATAACAGAAACAAGAACGCATTTATTCAGTGAAAATGGCAATAATGGGTCCATGATGTGTTATCAAAAACAGAGTATGAAAAGATGAGTATGCTTTCTACACCAGCTATGATGCTTAGCATTATTTGATGCTTCTACTCCCTCTGTTCATTAAAGATAGCTAGGTCGTTGAACAGCTTCTGCCGTTCAGCCTGTATGACTTAAACTTGTTGTTTAGGTAAAAGTTGTTGAAGAAAGTCTGGTCTCATAAAGGCTTGTAGTGTCCCTTCTTATGGAAAGGGGGAAGACATTTTAGTAGTCTTTTTCTTTAATAGGCAATATCCAATCAATCTATCATGGTTGGTCTTAATGCTTTTCAACTTTATCACGGTCCAGAAATCAAGCTCATATAGTCATTCTGTTAACTTCCAGTATGGTGATCACTAAATCACAGGAAGCATTCAGCACATTACCATAAAGTAGGTTCTGTGTGGAAGTGCTGAGGGTACCTCAGGTGGGCTAGTCTAAGTTACAGTGTCCTCCAGGCTAGCTTTATACTAAATGCATTTTACAATTTATGATCATTTCAGTTTGTGGAGGATTTATTAGGAGAATATTCCCAATAAAATTCAAGGAACTTCTGAAATTATAGAAACTACATTTTTACTATTCCCAAGTGCCAGTCTTTGTCCCCTAAGGCCGGATGCTGTGTGGCCCCTGTGCCCTGTGAGCCATTCCCAAGCAGCAGTCAGTGGGTTGCTGTCTTGAAAGGATCAGTGTCTTTCCCCATTATGCTTTATGTAAAGTTGAATAAGAATCACAAGCTATCCATTTCATCATACTGTTAAAAAGTCTCTAAAAAAACTATCTAGTCCTCCAGGAGTAAAAATGCTCCTTCTAATAAGATTTCAACTTCTCACATGCAGTGGGATCAGAATCTTTTTCCTTGCTAGGTTAAATTACTGGTTCCTGACATAGTGCTTGCATAAGTACTTGTGGAGAATATTGGTTTGTTGAAATGCTTGTATTCAATTCCTATCTGTGCCCATTACCTTATTGTGTCACTGGGGAGGCTGCCTTTCAGAACACACCTGGACATCCAGATCCCGTGAGTTAGGTGGCTGCTGGGTCCACTCCTTCAGAGTGTTTCCAAGGCACTGACCCTCAGTTCTGTGTTTCTCTCACTTAGATCCATACCGGCTTACAGCATCTCCTCATCAGGGTCTGTCAGCCCAGCTGTGTTCCCCTGGATGAAAAACTCCTGCCCCAGCTCCTGAAGGAAGCAGGCTATGCTACGCATATGGTCGGAAAATGGCACCTGGGAATGTGCCAGAAAGAATGTCTGCCAACACGCCGAGGATTCGATACCTACTTTGGTAATGGAAATGCATGTGTTTCTTTAGCAACACAGGCCTACTGCAGCCAGCTCATAAAACACGCCCAAGTGTCATCAAACAAAATGACTGGAAACTTGAACACAGAGTAAATCGGCCAGCACCGTAGTGGGCTTCTTCCTGGTATCTCTCCATAAGGCAGCTCCCTGCTGAGCTCTGGATGGGCATGCACCCAAGGGAAAGAATTGGGGGAGTTTATCTTAGACACCACTGTGCACTCTAGAATCTTCTTCCTAAAGATGATAGGGGGGAGTTTTGTGAGATTAGAGGCAGACTTTGTGTTTCTTCTCTAAAGTTCATATTTTTTCTCCCTATGGCCTCTGTTCAAAGCCCCCTCTTCCAGGGGGAGGAGGATGACTGGACATCTTCTCCTACCTATGAGATCTGTTTCTGAAATGACTAGGTTAGAGAAAATCAATTTAAAAAAATTAATAATTACAAAAGGGAGATAATAAAAATGGTAGTGGGAGATCATAAAGTCTTCAGTGCCCTTGGATTGCTATTAAAAATCAGCCTTCATTGATTTAACATCCTGAAAGTTCTAGAGGAAGGACTTGTGGACCTTGGGGATTGGTTTTTTTTTTGCTTTTGTACAGGCCTTTGCTAAAGAATGTGTTAGTGTTTGTTCTTTGACAGACTGTGGATATTAAGAACCGTATTAAAATCTAAGATGTGTAATTACCATTTTAGTTGGACAGCTGGGGAGAGAGTTCAATCCATAAAACATTTGCATCATTGAACCTGAGTTCAATCCCAAGACCTAAGTAAAAAAGCTGGGTGTTGTGCAGGTTCTAATCCTGGCACACAGGCTGTGGAGATGGGTGGATCCCTGGGGCTCACTGGCCAGGCAGCCTAGCCTAATTGTCAAGCCAGCAAAAGAACCTGTCTTAAAAAACAAGGGCAGATGGCTCCTGGAAGTGACATCAGCATTGTCCCTTGGCCTATGCACACACTTACATGTAGACATAAACTAAAAAGGCTGGACCTAGATAGACCAGCACCCACATTCCTGTGAAGAGAGACTTGCAGCCAGGAAGAATATTTGGAGCACATAGCCATCATTAGAATTGTAGCTTAGCTATCCTGCTGAAAGCAGTTAGGTGGTTGTGAATGCCTTCAAAGACAAGAAAGTACACTTGGCGGGTAACCATGTTGATGTGAACTGTGTCTCAATGAAACTATGGAAGGACATGGATTTAGTGATTCAAAAATATTTTCTAAAATATGTTCTCACAAAAGCATAGGCCGCCATCATCCTCAGGTTCACTTCAAGTTTGAGAATTGCAGTGACAAGGCACTGTCACTGTCAATGGCTGTGTGGTGTCAGTTTGGCCAAGTATTTGAGGGAAAAGTTCTGTTGCTACAGTTCTCCTATTCATGTCCATGTGGGCGCGGCAGCATGTGTGTGGAGGTCAGAGGACAGCCTGCAAGAGTAAGTTCTCAGGGTTCTAACTCAGGTTGTCAGGTTTGGTGGCAGGCCCTTTCCCCATAAGCCATCTCACCAGCCCTGAAATTACTTTTTGTGAATACATATTTTTCTATCTTACATTAAATAATAAATATGTTGGATTTATTTGCTATAAATATAGATTAAAATCACACAAAAAGTTATCTTAAGGTCCATATACTACTTGGATTTAGGACCTTGAACTTGAATCATGGAAAATAGTTAATGTAAAATTAATTGACTTGCTATATAAAATGTAGAAAGTCCTTAGTTATCATTGTAGAGAAAATTCATGAGAAGGGAAAGAGCTAGGCACTCTTTTCATCATTTTAAGGATAAAAAGGAACATGAGCTAAGAGTCCTTGAAAGTTTATTTCTTTTTAATAACTTTATTGGGATATAATTCATATACCATACAGTTCACTCAATTAAGGTATTTAATTTAGTGGTTTTTAAACAAGTTGAGGGACTGTTCCATTATCATCACAATCCAGTTATAGGACTTTTTTAAAAATCACTCACACAAAGAAACCAGATTCCAGGAGTCACCCCAGCTTCCAGCCCTGGGCCGTCCGTCACTAGCTCCCTTCTCTGTGTGACGGACCTATCTGAGCAAATCTGTGAATTTAATCCTAACATGCAGCCCGGCTTGCTTTCCTACTTCACAAAATGCGGGACATTTGCAGAACAGCTACTGGGAAGCTTCCTTTCCTCCCGGGCTTCAGTCTCTGTTGTAGGAGAGGGATCGGCTACAGAAACAGCGAATTTGACAGGCCGCTCAGTTCAGTGAGCAGCGTGCCTCTGAACAGCAGCCGAGGCACTGTGGAACAGTCTAGATGGAATGCTCTACTTTGACCTGGAGCTGGTAAGCCATCAGAGAGCTTGTGTTTGGGAAGGTTTGTATCTTTCCACCACTGGGTGTCAGCATTTGACTAAATATAACTCTTGCTGAGGCCTTGTCCATAAATAACCACAGACATCTGCCAGTCTCCGAACTGCAGTAACAACAATTCAGACGTGATCCCAATCCTGTTTTTGTTTTCTTACGAGCAAAACCTTGTAACAAATCACATTACCAGTGTATTGCCTTTTTTCTTAGCTTTAAAGGATTAACAACTTACAGCCTACTGAACTTGAACTCTGATTTCTAAAAGCCAGTTTCCACAGAGTCGCCCACTTACAAAGAGTTGACATGATAGAGCCGATGCTCTGAAAGCCTCGGGGAGAAAAGGACTTGGGTTTTTGTGTGCAGTGGCATTTTAATGGTGTCTACGAGCAAATATAGAGATGTTAAGAAATGTAGCTCTGATTAGCCTTGTCATTTGATTAGCCTCGTCACGGGCAATCAAACGCATTAGGCAATTAAATGCTGGAACACTCGCTTGCTTAACAGGCTTTATGCCACGCTGACTGTTTCGTCTCCCGTTCTTCTTGTAGGATACCTCCTAGGCAGTGAAAACTATTACACCCACGAGGTCTGCGCACTGATTGAACCCTTGAATGTGACACGGTGTGCTCTCGATTTCCGAGACGGCGAAGAACCCGCAACACAGTACAACAATACTTACTCAACAAATATATTTAGCAAAAGGGCTACAACCCTCATAGCTAACCACCCACCAGAGAAGGTAAGGGTTCCTTCTTCAGGGTTATCAAAATCTTGTTACTTCTCAAGGTTTTTTTTTTTTTTTCAAATTCTAGAACACATTCCAGTTAGCCAGAAAGGGAAGGTTGTTATAAGTGAAGATTCTGTATCTTCCCTCTTAAAGATTTGATGGACCAGGTATGGGAGAAATCCATGCAGCATACAGGAACCCCTAAGAGATCTCACAAGAGGGGACCCTAGGCTGTAGGTGAAGTAATGCTGTCTTTCAGAATTTCAATGGAAACCCTCCTTACTCTTTTTTTGTTTTGTTTTGTTTTGTTTTGTTTTGTTTTACGAGACAGGGTTTCTCTGTATTGTTTTGGAGGCTGTCGGTCCAGCCTGGCCTCGAACTCACGGAGATCCGCCTGCCTCTGCTTCACGAGTGCTGGGATTAAAGGCGTGCGCCACCACCACCCGGCTTACTCTTTTTTTTTTTCTTTTGGGTTTTGAAGACAGGGTTTCTCTGAGTAGCCCTAGCTGTCCTGGAACTCACTCTGTTAACCAAGCTATCCATGAACTCACAGAGATCCACCTGCCTCAGCCTCCCGAGTGCTGGAACTAGAGGCGTGCGCCACCAACGCCCGGCTTTGCTTACTCATATCTAATGCTCTACGTGCCTATGCTCTAAGTGGTTAGCAAAACCAGACGCAAGTGTGCAAGGCGAGGGTCCGTTATAGAGAGCTGCTAGCAATCCAGGGGTCAGAGGGCGTCCTCTCCTCTCGTACTTCTCTCTTCAGCGTTGTTTTGGTTACTTTCAACCCTTTGTATTCCCATATTAATTTTAGAATCTGTTGACCATTGTTTACCAAGAAAACAAAGGTGGTTGCTTCATTTGGTGTTCATCAATTAACTTAAAGGAAATGGCCATCTTAGCATTACTGAGTTTTTAAAATTCATGTGCACAGTAGATCAGTTTTCACAGGTACTATAAGGAAGCTGTTGGATACATCATCTGCAGACTTATCTGCAGGTTAAAAAAAAAAAAGATTTGTGAATAGCCTTAAAGCCAGATTGTCTGGACTTGGCATCTAAGTGGTTTTGAAATGAAGAGGTTGCCAGACACTAGGCTCAAAGGGTATTCTCATGAATTGCATTCACACACCCATAAAACATCCTTCAGTGGGAGCCCCCCTAACATGGAGGATTCCAGAAAGTGTGCAGGTCCGTCCTACCACACGTTGTCTCTTTGGCCAGGCCTGGAGGTACTCAGCACAGGTCTTGATGAGGGTTCTGACTTGCATACCTGTTCAGACTTAGTGGCCGGCTGATGACTCCCAGTCCAGCATGGAATCTTCCAACCTCTCTCCTTGCTATTCTTAGTAGGAGGGACACTCCCTGGTGGCCGGTCTCAGCTTTGCCTCACTTTGGATTTTTAAGAGCTTCATGCTGACATCTCTAGGCAATTGTCTGTCATCAAACATGAAGAAAGGGAAACGTTCTCTCAAATATTTAGAAACGTGTACAAAACAGTATTGTCTCATAGTGCCCTCATAACTTCAAACAGCTAAGAGGAAGCAGCTGTGGAGAAGTAGTTCTTTGTGGGTGGGCGGTTAAATTGGACTGGTAGAGAAAGTGCCAGAACTGAGGGCGCTGATAGGCCTCAAGAACTCAAAAGCTATGGAAGGGGCGTTGCCATCATGGCATGCTCATAGATGGCATTACAAAATCTCCAGATGGGAGATGGACGCTTCCTGCCAGTGTCTGAGATGCTCGGAAGAAGTAGTCATCGTTCCCAGTGTCCCCAAGCGCGCTGGCGTGAGTGGGGAAATAGTAGTTGGTAGCAACCGACATCTTTACAAGGTAGTTCCTGCAGGTCTTCTGTTTCCGCTCCCAGACAGTGATATATCATCTCACGCCTTCCAGGAGCTGCATCTTTTCCCGGGGTTTAACCCAATTCCGTGCTAGGCTGTCAGGCGCCACGCGCGTATACATTGTCGCGTGGCATTTGTTCCAAGATGGAAGCCATTAAAGGAATTCACATGCAGTGTCCACAGCTCAGCTAAAAATATACCTGCTTTTAAGGGGCAGCTGAGGGAGAAAATGGATAGAGCTGTTGTGTAACAATTGAGTTGCTAATGCTGGCTGGGGGGGCACTGCTAATGACTTTACATGGGTCAGGAAGGGACGTCCTTTCTGCTTGATATCAGGGTGACTGTCACAATCCTAACACTTTATAAGTAATATATTCATAGCCTGACTTTCTGTTAAAAATAGCACAGCAGCACTTTGAAGAACTAAAAGCAAATCTCTAAGATTTCTGCATCTAATCTAGAAACTTCCTAAAGAAAACAAAACAAGAACTCCTAGTTGGAAGACTCTGTCTTTGCCCTGGCACAAGTTGGGAAGAAATGTCTTAATTTGGATGTCGAAGACAGAATAGTAGTTTCAAAAATTATTTGTGTTTTTCCATTTATACTTTGAATTAGGAAAACCTATAAGGAAATAAAAAATACTTTATTACTTGACGACATGGGATTTCTTTCCATTGTGAGGATGTTCAGAGTGTATATCTTAGGAGCCATGGAGCTTAGTAGGAAAGGGGAAGGAGCCCTTAGCATCTAAATGTGAGTGTGAGATAGCTCTGCTGGCCATGTCTGAGTTTTATCACAGTTTCCCAATAGGGATTCCATTTTGTAGTCTTAGGGTACTTGGAAGGGTTGCAGTTAGGATTGGGGTCCTGGGTTCTATAAGAAAGCAGACTGAACAAGCCATGAGAAGCAAGCCAGTAAGCCTCACCCCTCCAGGGCCTCTGCATCAGCTCCAGGTCCCTGCGAGAAGCAAGCCAGTAAGCCTCACCCCTCCAGGGCCTCTGCATCAGCTCCAGGTCCCTGCCTTGTTTGGGTTCCTGTCCCGACTTCCCTCAGTGGTGAACAGCAACGTTGAAGTGGAAGCCTAACAAACCCTTTCCTCCCCAACTTGCTTTATGGTCACGGCATTTCATAGTAACTATAGAAACACTAAATAAGATACCAGTTCTATGTGGAATTCCCTCCATCTAGACTTCCTGTCCTTAGAGATAAAGATGAGGCCTTTCTGTAGTACAGGGAAAGTGACTTTCATGCTGGGGTTAATCTCCCACTGTGAAGAAATAGCATGAAGACAGAGTGATCTTGTACCTACCGTTTCTCGAGTGCCTTTAACTCAGTCAGTATTCCAAAGAGCCTGTTTTCCCTTTCACCCCAACTGTGAGCTCCCTGTCTCACGCTTCCCATTTCCCTTACATTCCACCCCTGGTGAGAAAACGGAGACCCCAAAGTACAGTACTGTGGCCCGCTGAGTACTTCCCATGAGAGACACGTGAACGAATCTCAGGAGGGAGATGTTCCCAGTGCCCTCTGCTGCTTTCTCCCTAGAGACAGGTCGGTGGGATGAGTTCCTCTTCCCCAGGGCAGGTCATGGAATTCAGAGCTCCCTCCTCAAGCCAGCCAGAAAACTTAAGAATACTGCTCTAATATGCCTGCCTTCCTCATACCAGCTATCTATAAAGAAGGGTGTGGCCTGCCCCATAGTAAGTTGTTTCACATGCTAATCCCAGGCAGGGCCAACCAGACCCACGGAAGAGATGCCCAGTCAGAGGTGCCAAGAGGCCACTCCCTTTTCTGATGTTTCAAGAACTAATTAATTTAGATATGGCGGGTGTTGTCTCCTACTGTAGTCTAGGATAGCTTGGAACTCACACTATAGCCCATGATGGCCTCAGACTCAGGACAGTCCTCCCGCCTTAAGCGCCTGAGTGCTAGAATTACAAGCATATGCCACCATGCCCGGCTTAAGAACAAGGTTTCAGATGATTTCCACATGACCTTTTAATTTATTTTCAACACTTTATGTGGGGTGCAAATTACGGTTGCCTTGTGAATTTTAGTTCTGTCCCCGTCTACCCATTGGCTGGTGTCTGGAGTTGGCTCAGTCTGGTGCTGAAGAAGAGTGAGTCGGGAAGACCCCCACAGTAGAGCCCCGTGCACTGTCAGAGCTCAGAATGAAGGGCTACACACCCTCCCGTGGTCCAGATGGATGCAGACTGCCAGTGTGACCTGTGAGGTCGGAGTGGAAAGTGTGTGTGTGTGGACGAGCAGGGTCGGAGCAAAATGGTGTTAGAAGTCTGGGTATAGAGTTTAAGAGGGGGATTTGAAGTATTTTCTCATAGGTATATATGTAAAACATTTAATTATTTGAAATATCCAAACTCCAAATAAACTTTTGGGTGTCTATTTGAGCACCCTGTATGGATGGCCTTTCCTCTTATGTGTCTGCATGCCCTTAATTGGTTGGCACATTCTCCATCAAAGGGATGTATGTGACATTTAAAACCATTTTACAACAATAAAAACTGAAGTGAGTCCCTCCCATCTTCCCTTTTTTTCTCCTTCACTTGTGATTTAAATGCTCAAATGCTCCAGTAGCATAATGTACTTATTCTTGGATTGAAGTCATTGATTGTCTTTTGGAGAGTTTTCAACTCATTGGAGAATTCTGTAAGGCACAGTGCAGGGGATATCTGCAGAACAGCCCCCTAAAGACAAAATGCTGACTAGGAATGCCTCAGATGCTGATGCTACAAATTGGCCTAGGAGAAAAAAAAACAACCTGTGGACCATACTGCTTATTTCCAGGAATTAAATTGGCCTTATATTTATTTGACTCAAGATCAAAGACTAATAAAGCACTGTGTTTCCTCAAAACTGTGTTCAAAAACCCTGTCAACTTCTCCTTATTTTTGCCTGATGTATTTATCGGTGCATGTCAACATCGTAATAGTGAGGTTACCAGTAGGAAACACCTCATCAATTCATGGTATGTGGGCATACCATCTAACCTTTTGAAGCCTTGGTTAACTCATTGGTAAATAGATATAACAGGATGGTTTTGGGTGTTAAATGGCATAGAGTGGCCAGATAGTCATCAGTTTATCTTCTATATAAAGCATTTAATATGTGGTGTGTTGTTGATATTATTGTTTATTTGGGTCAGAGCCTTCTGTCCCATTCTAGAACTTTGACCTTTATGTTTTGTATCTTTTGTCATCTTTTGAACATTTTTACTGTGGCATAATTTGCATAGAGAAAAATTCACTCACTTAAAGTATACAATTAATTAGGATAACTTAAGAGGTGTTTGAGAATCAACACGGTCTGCTTTCCAAGAGAAATTTATACCTACGATTAGTGCCTCATCATTCCTGTCCCAGAATTCCCTATAGACACAGACAGCCACTCACATAGTTTCTATCTCCATAGACTTGCTTCTTCAGAATATTGAAATCAATGCAGTAAGCAGTAATGCAAGATGTGGTCTCTAATTGGCTCTTTTCTCTTCATATTCCAAGTCCAAGTCCAACTGTGTTGTCACTTTTGTTGTTATACACCGTGACTAAAAAATTCTGAATTTTATTTATCCATACTTGAGTTTGTGGACATTTGAGTTTTCCTACTTCTTAGCCATTATGAATAATGTTGCAATGTGCATCCGTGCACATTTTTACATGGACATGTGGCTTCATGGTTTTCTAGGAATAGGAAGGCTGGGTTGTAAGCAGCCATGTGCAACACTGAAAATTTCACGTGCTTTTTCTGCATCTACATACGTCACTTTACATTCCTACCAAGAACAGTTGAGGACTCCAGTTTCTCCATAGCCTCACCAATATTATTGTTTGCTGTTTTAAAAACTCCAAGCATTCAATGTGTGAAATAGTGTCTCACTGCAGTTTTTGTTTTGCAGTCCCCTGGTTATGAACATTTGTTACATCTTTGGAGAAACCTATTTAAATTCTCTGTACGTAACTAAATTGCCCTTTGTTGTTGAATTATTTATGTATTCTGGATGTGAGTTCCTTACCACGTATATGATTCACAGATACCTTTGGTACACTGTGTAGGTTGTCTTGAAGTTATTGATATGAACTGATGCATTTTAACCGTATCATGTTTTGTATTTGAAGTCTCCATCCCTTTTAACTGATGTCCACGAACTCTCTTTCCAGCCACTGTTCCTCTACCTTGCTCTCCAGTCTGTCCATGATCCACTTCAGGTCCCTGAGGAGTACATGAAGCCATATGAATTCATCCAAGGCAAGCACAGACGTATTTATGCAGGGATGGTGTCCCTCATGGATGAAGCAGTGGGAAATGTCACCGCAGCCTTGAAGAGCCGTGGGCTTTGGAATGACACGGTGTTCATCTTCTCCACAGGTCAGTCTGCCCGTAGGCCATCCATCTCTAGGCAAAGCCTAGGATGTGGCATTCAGTAGGTGGAATGAAGACAGATTGGAACAGTTAGCATTTCCTTATGAAAATAAATGCTACCTGCAGTAGTGGAGCCACCGTTGCAATGCGAATAAGGAAACACAATTACATTCCTTTCATCCTTTTGTTTATATGCACAATACACCAGGAGTGTACTTGAAGACCATTGCTCACTAGCTGAGGGAATTAGCAGGTACCACACATCCTCAGGACATCAGGATGCAGGTCTCCAGAGTTCTTCTGTGATACCACTGTCACTAACCGAAGGTCTCTGTGTCTGGGCAGACAGGCTGTGACACTATAAAGACAGATTAGAAAAGGAGCCAATTAAACTTAGGCAAGCATCTCCAAGTATAAAATTTTTTGTATTAAAATAGTTTTCTGACAATAAAAGCTACACATTCATTGTAGGAAAAGTAAGCACAGAAGAGGGTGAAGGAAAAGCTAAACATCAACCCCGAGATGACTGAAGGCCATTTTCATGGAGTAGGGACTTTCTGAGTGGAAATCTCTTACATTCATGATTCCCCCCTCAATTGGAAACATTTATGGGTTTTTTGTTTGTTTGTTTGTCTTTTGCTTTGTTTTAAATTTCACACTAATGGGACTTCAGCGGAGATCTGTGCTTATTCCTTTTCCTGAACACTCAGGCAGCATGTTCTGTGTGAAATGCAGAGTATGATGTGATGGGCACTTTTCTCATTGACTCTGAAATTGTTAGACATCCACCTGCCCCTCCTACCCACTTTGCAGAATGCCTGATATTTTCGTACTTGATCAGTCTTCCAACTTTCTTAGTTTTTTATTCTGTTTTCTTTACATTTCTTTTATCTGTTTGGAAAATTTACTTTCCATCCTTTTCTAAACCTTATGTTGCATTTATCTCAGTCACTTGGTTTTCTAATTACCAAGAACTGTTTCTTATTTCCTGGTAATTCCATTTCTGTTAGATTTCTTTCTTTATAGATGTAAAGCTTACTCTTTAATATGTGTGCATGTACTTGAATACATGTGTGATGCATGTATGTATATACATTGTTACATCTATATTCACAACATTCTCTTTTAAGGTTCTTTTCTTTGTGTGTTTGTATTTTTGTCTTAATCTTTAAAGGAGTGAATTCTTCAGATTCTTTTGACCTTGGCTAACATTGAAACTTTGATTGGAAACTCCACACGTGAGATCAGAACCTGTCATTCAGTGTGGGAACGAGGTGACATGATGAGGAATTAATCTTGCTGGCCTCATAGTTGTTTTTGTTGTTCCGTTGTTTTGCTTTGCTTTTAGATAAGTGTGGGTTTGAGCACTTACTGTATACAGGACAAGTTTAAGAGCCTCACATGTTTAGTTTAAATAATCCCCACAGTAATTCATTTCCCGAGGACTGTTCCCTATCTTGCAGATGTGAGAACTAAACAAAGAAGTGAATACATAGCCCACGGTTACACAGCCACATCTGAGCGTGTCTGGCTTTCTGTTTCAGGCTCTGTAGCATTTTCTGGCCTCAAAGGCAGCGATCTGTCCATCTGTCTGAGACTGGTTATCATATAGCCAAGCTGGCCTGAATTCTCCATCCTCCTGCCTCTGCCTCTTCAGAGCTGGTAGTGGATGTGCCCATCCCTATCCTGGGTGAGTTGATAATGTTTGTGTTCTCTTCTAACTCCTGACACAGCAGAGCTGTTTCCATGGTGGCTGCAGTGGCGAGGATCCAGGCAGGGCACGGTGCATCGGTGGTGTCTGTGTGAGCAGCTTGTGTTCTGGTTTCACCGCCATCTACATACTTTAATTTTCTAAGTGTTCCCTGTTTTGATTAGGGTCGAATGTAAGATATGTTCACACACACACTCTCTCACACACACACACACACACACACACACACACTAAGAATGGAAGGAAGACATCTTCTATGCAATCATTTGCAGGGTCCCTTATAATCTGGGAGTCAACCTCAGTTTACTTCATTAAAAAACCCCTCTATTGCATTTATCAGTTGGCTGTTGAAGTCCTATAGAGTCTCTAGAAACACTTGGGAAAAAGCCAGGTTGCTTAACACTGCTCTAGCAATTATTCCTTGGAAATAACCTCATAACAGCAAAAATGGGAGACTATAAGTTCAAACACTCAAGCCTTGTTGCAGAGGTCCTGATGACACAATTACTGGACAGAGATTTCCTGAATATGGATTAATATATTACTCATGAGTTAAATAGTACTCAGAAGTAAAGATGTTTACTCTGGAAACCGTTAAATATCTCAAAGTGGCTGTCACAGAAATAGAGATACTGGCATCAAGGATGTCTGAGATACATTTTTTCATGATATATGAGAATGAAAAATATTTGAAAATCATTGTATCTTTTGTGTCATAATTTCAGATATGTATATTTTATTCATTTTATAAGCATCTGAACATTTTATTCAATTTAGCAAAAATAATATTTGAAGCTTTTCACTGTCATATCCTGCTATTATGACGTCTTAAAGATGTGTTGATCCTAGGTCAGCTCTGTTTCTCTGGGGACTGAATGCAGTTTGATTATCTAGGTGTTTTAATTATGTTACTACATTTGACTCAGTGGAGTTTTAGTTAGGATTTCACATCAGGTCACAAGTGAGAGGGGTTGGTTTCCTTTTTCACTGGCAGGCTTTTCTGTCTTGGTTGAATTCATGTGGTAAAATAATTAAGATGGTTTTCCCATCTCTTTCTATGGTCTGGAGCCTTCTTTGGAGGCATTTAAAAAGTTATCTCCATAGTTTAAATTTTTCCTTACTTATGTCTAGGTATCAGTCTCCAAATGTTTTCAAATTAGTTTTGTCTGAGATTAGTGACTGCCTTGATCGCATTGCGGGATGAGTCTCCATCCCAGCAAAGGTTCTCTGCCCATATTTTAGCTTTGCTGGTTTTCTCTGTTTTACTGGGGGGACGACACCAAACTTCAATAGGTTGAATTGTTAATTCAAGTTCTTTTCTTTTCTTATCCCTTTCTGGCTTTCTGTCCTTCCCCAGCCCTCACTCCTGTGTTTCCGGCCTCCAGCCCTCACTCCCGTGTTTCAGTCCTTCCCAGCCCCCCTCGCTCCCGTGTTTCCGTCCTCCCCAGCCCCCCTCACTCCCGTGTTTCCGTCCTCCAGCCCCCCCCACTCCCGTGTTTCCGGCCTCCCCAGCCCTCACTCCCGTGTTTCCGTCCTCCCCAGCCCCCCTCACTCCCGTGTTTCCGTCCTCCAGCCCTCACTCCCGTGTTTCCGTCCTCCCCAGCCCCCCTCACTCCCGTGTTTCCGTCCTCCAGCCCTCACTCCCGTGTTTCCGTCCTCCCCAGCCCCCCTCACTCCCATGTTCCATCCTCCCCCAGCCCCCTCACTCCCATGTTCCATCCTCCCCCAGCCCCCCTCACTCCCGTGTTCCATCCTCCCCCAGCCCCCCTCACTCCCGTGTTTCCGTCCTCCCCAGCCCCCCTCACTCCCGTGTTTCCGTCCTCCCCAGCCTCCCTTCACCAGCTGGTGAGTTCTACATTTTGTTTCTGCCCTTCAGCGTTGCCCGTGGAGAGCGTTGTGACTGTGCTGTTGACATCTTTGCAGCCCTTTCTTTGCTCAGTCAGTGCCGTTCTTTCTCCGATGACTGCACGCCCAGGCCCCTCGAGTGTTGCCTCCACTTACCCTGTTTTTGCTCATGGTGTGAGCAGGACAGCTCACAGTTACCTTGTGAGCCAGTTCCCATCTCCATTTTATCAAAGAAGGGACCCCAACTTCAAGGAGCTAAGAGATTAGCCACATGTTACACAAGAGAGAGCCAGAATCCAAATTCAGATCTACACAATTACCTGCAATTGTCTTTTTAGCTCATCTCCTTGTCCTTTATCTCCCTCTTGGCTTCCTGAGCGTCTGTTCCCAAAGCCAACCTCTCCCCAAATATTTATAAGGAAAACTTTAAATCTTCATTTTTATGCCGAACCATTGCCAACTTTCTCTGAATGTAAGTGATGTAGAGTCTATGTGCACAGCACATGTGGCCATCTCTGTCCCCCGAGTAACTCTATCTCACACCTGGGGTCAGCTTGATAGACACAGCTCACTGAGCTCCCAGGCGCTTCAGGAGTGAAGTGTATTCCACCCTGCAGAAGCCATTGACCAGTTATGTTTCCGTTCCTCTGGCCATCGGTTCTTTGACCGACCCAGAGACCAGCCCAGGTGGCCACAACCTGACTCAACTCCATTCTGTTAATGCTTTACTTTTGGAAAAGGCCCAGGAGACCTTTCCTCCAGTCCTATCTTCTAGAAGTGATCGGAACCTCTTAACTACATATAGGAGGGTAAAGAGGTAACAGTTTTTTGGTTATGTACATCAGCACTCCCAGGCTTTCTCCTGCATCTGTTCAGGTAAGTGAAATGGCTCATGTCCAGAGACCAAGTAGTGCAGGTTAGCCCTGTTTCCTCAGCCCAGCATCTCTGACCTTAAGCTTTGTGAAACTTCCAAGATTCTAGCATTTTAAGTTGTTTCCCTTTGTCATGTCCTGAGTCACGATTAGATCCCATCTTTAAAAGGAGCAGTGTTAGTCACAGTCAAAAGGACAACATTTTAGCCTGGACTAAATCCCATCATCACGGCTCGTCTTTCTAGTTGCTAAACTCCAGGAGTGAGATCCAGTTCTTGATCAGCTAGACCAGTGGTTCTCAACCTCCCTAATGTTGTGACCCTTAATACAGTTCCTCAAGCTGTGGTGACCTCCAACCAGAAAATTCTCATTGCTGCTTCATACTGTAATGTTGCTACTATTATGAATTGTAATATAAATATCTGTTTTCTTGGATGATCTTTTCTTGCCGGGGTGGGGTCATGACCCACAGGTGGAGAACCACTGAGCTAGACCAGGAGACCCTGGAAAAGGAGCAGTGGCATCTTGCACATGTTTATGCCAGCTCTTACCAGAATAACTAGTCTCCAGAGGGTTTT